CATAATGCAATAAAAACATCAAGTTTGAAACTCTAGAACCTTAGGTTTGAATCTACCCTCATCCATTGAGGATGAGATAGAATTTTCGTTAAGAAACGTAATCCTTCTAAGAGAAGGATTCTGAGAAAGTCTTTATTTGTATATGATGACAGATCTTTCAAATGGTTGTTGTGGGCAACAAAGAGCTTAGCAAAAGGTTAGCACGGTGCCAACTATCCAAAGCACGGGTCTTTGACAGTCACTGAGTGAGCAGTTGTATCTAATCGTGTCTCTCTTTGGATGAAGCCAGTACATGTCTTTTCAGACAGAGAGCATAGTGACCTCCAGCAATGGCTCTTAAATAGCAATTGGTCACTTCAAGAATCTAAGAGTCCTTACAGCCAGGAAATGAGCACATGTGAAAACTTTTGCAAAATTCTAGTTCTAAATTGCCTCACACAATACTTGATGCTGCCGGTTCTGAGCCTCATGTGAAGGACTTGGCACCATATGAACAGAGAGGGTCAGCCAACCCCCAACAGGCAGGCCTCATACCTGCCAATAACCTGCTCTTTCATTTGTGCTGGATAGCATGAAGGAAAAGAACCCAATTGTGAAAGCAAACCGAGTTTTAAAAAGAAAATCACTTTTCTCTATGATGACATTTTTTTTCCTCATTCAGTTTACAAAACCCCAAGTCCCAGAAATATCTATGCCCATCCAGTCTGCAGCCAGAATGCAAGAATCCACTGCTACCACCTCTGTCCTGTGTGCCTGTCAGTAAATCCACACAGAGTCATCTATCAAGCACCCAAAAACTGCTACACAGTTCCTGTCCCCAATTTGACATCTACTCAGTATACTCTATATACTGTCTTCAAATTGCCCCCATGGTCCAGTTGACTGGGGGATGTATTTATTTATTTATTTATAAATCTTTTTGTCTTATTTTACATATCAATCCTAGTTCCCTCTCCCTCCCATCCTCCCATGTCCCACACTGACCCCCCCATCCCATCTCCCATCCACTCCCCAGGGAGGGTGAGCCCTTCCAAAAGGGATCATCAGAATCTGCCCAGTCATTTGCCAAGGCCCAGGCCCTCCCCCATGTCTCTAGGCTAAGGGAGTATCCCTCCATGGGGAATGGGCTCCCAAAGTGCATGCATGTACCAATGATACATCCTGGTTCCACTGTCAGAGGGCCCATAGACTGCCCAGGCCTTCTAACTGAGAGCCCAGAGATCTACAAGGATGACTTCAACTAACAATCTAAGCAATAGTGGAAAGGCTACCTTAAATGTCCTTCCCTGATAATGAGATTGATGACTAACTTATATGCCATCCTAGAGCCTTCATCCAGTAGCTGATGGAAGCAGAAGCAGACACCCACAGCTAAATATTGAGCTGAACTCCTGGAATCCAGTTGCAGAGAGGAAGAAGTGATGAGCAAAGGGAGATGAGCAAAGAGTTTTTTTTTTTTTTTTTTTTTTTTTTAATATTTTACCCAGATGGCTTAAAACTATCTATTAGATGGGTGAGGCCACTGGCGGTGGGTGCAAGATTTAACTCTAATGCATAAACTGACTTAGTGAAGCCCATTCTATATGGAGAGATATCTTGATCAACCTAAACACAGCAGTGTGGGAGGTGGGGAGGTGCCTTGGTCTTGCCTCAATGAAATGATGGGACAGACTTAGACTTCCTACAGGAGGCCTTACCCTCTCCTGGAAGCATATGGGAGGAGTGGGGAATAAAGGGAATGGGATGAGAGGAGGGAGGGGGAACTGCTATTGGAATGTTAAAAAAAAAAAAAAATTAGTAAACACAGAGAGAGAGAGAGTCTATCACATGGGGGGGGCTAGGCCCTGCTCCAAATGATATGACAGACTTTGAAGATTCCCCCATGGAAGGTCTCACCTTCCTGAGGAGCATATTAGGGGATGGGATGGGGACTGAGAGGGGGACAGGGGAGGAGGGGAGGGGACAGGAACTGGGATTGACACATAAAATAAGCTTATTGCACATTTAAATAAAAAGCACTATCAAAAAATTACTAAAAGGAAAAGAGAAATAAACAGTCTAAATGTTCCAGAATTTTATGAAACTCTGAAGTGGGGAAAATGGCCCACTACCACCTGTCCTTAGAACATGTCATTTTAAAGAATGCACCAGCTTCATTTGAAACCTGATAAGCCCATCAGCACAGCTCAGATTCCTGTCATTCTACTTTGATCACCATCACCTCCTTTATCCCACTATTTACTGCCCTTGTTTCTGTCTCCCTCCCATTGCATCCCTCACCCTTGCTAGGCCCTGGGTAACCCACCCCTGCAGCTTCTCCTGCAAGTCTTCTTTGCTACTACTTTATTCGTAGGCATAGATAATGGGAGGCACAGGTTCAAATCAGAGGATGAGAAATTTCATTCCAGCCCCTCCCAGCTCCACTCTTCTCATCATAGCAGGGGCTGCCTCCTTCCCACAGCACATGTCAAGTGGTCTCTGCTCTGAGAACTCAGTTCTC